GAGATAAGTAAGGTATAAACTCTTTATTAATTTATCAACATGATTATATTAATCATCTTATTTACATAACATCATACTTATAAATTTTATCAAGTATTTATCATGCTAACTTATATTAACAACAAATCAAGTTCCTCTCATAATAATGATGTCGGCCGAAGACTATAAATGATCAAGTATTTGATGTACCAAGTCTTATACAATACAAATCTATATTAATCATTTAACAAGCAAGGTATTAATAATTAATAAGATAAAATGATAAGATATGTTAATAGCAAGTTGTTTAGGATATAAGTATTGAACTCCGTATTGAGTTTATATTATACTTATCATAATACCATTAGTGAAATCTTTTCACCTTAATATAATTAACTTAGCTAAACATTATGATGAAGAAAAACTTAAAGAAATAATATAAGAACATAAACATGATATAAGTTAACTAAGTATAGTAAAGGAAATGAAAAACATGAATAAGAGATTAATGAAAGCAAAACTTAAGCATTACAAAAAGATTAAGAAAAAGAGTAAGAACATGATCTTGATATAGAAAACAAGATGCCTAAATCAATGGCAAATATCTTTTTTTATAGGCTAAAATTTGGACTATTCATTTGATAATTGATAATTGATGTAGTGGCTAACTATTTATCAGTGGGCTTGGTGGACAACATCACTCAAACACTTTGGCTAACTGAATTGACATTGAAGCAGACATAATTTGGCAAAGTATTCTTCATGAAAGTTGTTGGAAATTATTTTTTTCTTTCACCCATCAAATTTTAGATTATTTAAAGCATTACCGCTCAAGATATGTCTAAGATACTGAGTAGTGCTGCTGGTGCATATGATGGATAACCCTCATGCTTTTGTCTGAATGAAATATCATTTCTACCGTCCGAATTTGAGCTAGTCCTCTTCATGAAAGTTGTTGAAAATTGTCCTTTTCCTTCCACCCATAAAAATTTTAGATTATTTGGATTTCTAGAACTCTAGTTATAGGGGAAACTCTTAGTAGTGTTTGGACTGGATTGCAAGACAAATTCGAACTTCTCTTTTATGGCCAAACTTTGAATTTGAAAATGACAAATTTAGGTCTTTCCCATAAACGTTATAGGCCTATTTCTTATTTTTTAGCTATATAAATTAATATGAAACCTAAGATCTATAATTCTAGGTATGATCTGATGATTGAACAGTGTTGGAATTTGAAGTGAATCGGCATCTTCTTCATAAGCTTAACCTTTTCTTTGTCTTTCACTTTCAATAGTAAATCATAACAATCAATCAATTGAATTATGAGACTACTGCATTTAAAATGAACATTTATCATAAATTAAATGTATCTTATAGTATCAGACTTATTTTTATAAAACATGCTCTAGTTAAGGACTTATTAATACTTCAAGTGTAAAATGATAATATAAAACATTGATAAAAATACACTTTTAAGTACTAATAAGTAAACAACAGGTCAACACAGAGCTACAGGTACTACTTTTCTCAAGGACAGTTTTGGAAATGTATGAAGATCGTGGCTTGATGTAACTAACACAGACCTCACTTGCTCACTCACTGAGTTCTGTTTTGTTTTTGGAAATAAGCCCTGATCTTGATAGCCCCTGCTTCTTTGTTTCTCTTCGATCTAATCCGTACAAGAAGGTGTTCCTTTTTAATTTAATTTGTTTTTTTTTATCTGTTTTTTTTTAATGTAGAGAACATAGAAAGTGTGAAGGTGACATCGTTTTTGCTTTATTTTATACTATATTTAAAGGCAATGCCTTTTGATTTGGTTTGGAAGTACACTATTTAAAATTGGTGTGTTTTTGAGTTTTGGTTTGTTGAAAATGGGCCGTGCATATAAAAACAAAAGGGTGTTTTATGATTTTTTTTTAAGATTTATTATGAGTTTTGTTTGTTTAATTTAATAAAAACCTTTTTGCAAAGAGAAATTCAATTGTGCTCTTTTTTTAATGCTTATTTCTTGCATTTTTATGACTTATTCCAGGGGCAAGCATCCTATTTTTATCTACAAAAGCGTTTTCATCATTTAATTTGTTTTTCTGAATGTTTTTGTCTTGTGATAACTCCTGTGGTGATGGAGATTTCAAAACGATAGTTTTGATAAATTATTTTTATTCGTGATTTTTTTTATTTAAATAAATATTTAATTAAAATTATAATTAAAAATATTTAGCTAAATTTTATGATTAAAATGGATGTTTTAACTTAAATTACCATAAAAAATACCTCGGTGTGTTTGGTATTGGTATTGCGCTTGCTGCTGTGATTGTGGTTTGAAAAAAGTTGTTTTATAAATAGTACTTTTAGTTGAGGTTGGTTTTGAAAAATATATATTTGGTTAAAATTATAATTGAAATTGAGGTTGAATAAAAAGTAATTTAATATGTTTGGTTAAGAAAGATTTTGAAATTGAGATTATAAAATAATTTAAAAATATATATATTAATATTAAAGATTTTTAATTTAAATATTATAATTTCAACTATTGTTATTACATGAAATAAATAAAATTTTATATAAAATATTTTTTTATTATTCCATTGAATTATTTACAATTGCATCACGTATGAAATATATGTGATAATTTTTTTGGTTTCCTTAACACACAGCAACACAACTTATAAAATTTAATTATAAACAAATTAGAATTGTGATCAAATTCTGCAAATATTATATCAAACTTTGTTTAATGTATTTTGCGCGTTGAACTGGACCCGGTCTGACCGGAACAATGGACGTATATTGAATTGTCCATTGCTCTGCTATTTAATGAACAGTGTAGCGTGGTTGAATTTCCTAGCCAGGCAAGAAAGCAGCATTTTCCTGCTTTCCATGCATAGTAAGTATTTTTTTTTCTTTCTTTTCATATTTCACTTTTTGGGAAATGCTTTACAAAATTTTTTGTAATTATTTAATATTAAAAAATTAATCAATCGAAAATAATTTTCAGTTAAAGAAAAATTTATTTTGGTTTTTATGAAAGTATTTTCGTAGAAAATTTTGGTGACAAATACTTTTCAGAAGTTATGAAAAATTTAGAAATGTTATAATATTTATTTATAACGTCAAATTTAATTCTCAAACTTTTGACTGCTATATATATATTTTGTTTTCAATGTTTATTCTTCAATTTCATCTTTTAAAATTTAATTTTTATATTAACTCTGGTCCTTATTTTTTATAATTGTTATTTGGTTTTTTCTCATTATTTTCTTATTAAATTTTTGATCCATTAAATTTATTCCTCATTTTTTTTATTGTTACTTATTTTTTAAATAATTTATAAAATGTTAATTATTATTATTTTAATTTCTTTATTTTTTTACATTTAATCTCTATTATTTATTTTATTTGAGCTAATTTATAAACTTATTTTTTTAATTTTATTCTCATTCAATTTTTTAATTTATAAAATTTATTTCTTATTATTTTAATAAATTTTAAAAAATAAAATATTAATAAGTTATTTTATATCTCATAATTAAATACAGAATAATATCTTTCCATTTATTTTTAGCACACTATTAAATATTAAAAAATAGTTTAGTTTTTTACATTTTTTTTTTAAATTAATTTATTTTAAAAAAATTATTTTTTAATAAATAAACAGGCGTTAATCAAATGATTACAAATTAGAATTTCCTTTAAAAATAACCACAACCGCGTATTCTCAAAACGTCAACTGTTGTAGTCAATACTGGTGGACTAAAAGCCATCCACTTGATTAATGGTAAGACACTTCGGGCTCCTTTCCCGCCATTTTCCTCGCAGGATGCTTGATGTCTTCAAGGGGTGCAAGCGCCTTGTTCCAGGATGGAGCATTAAGAGTTAAAGAAATACTAAAAGACATAAAGTGAAGTTCTTACAATATTCGTAGCAATGGCCATCACCTCATTTATAATTTATAATTTATTTATATATTTTATCAATTAATAAAAAGTGAAAAAAGAAAAAGAGAGAAGAAATAAAGTCAAGTCTTCTTCCGCATATCACGTGAAAAGAAAGATTCGCAAATAATAAAACTTAATTCAATCAAACCCACTTTTTCGACGATGGGATCTCTTGGCAAATAAAGCAAAGGACAAACCAAGTAAAACGTGGGATCTAACTCAATTTTCCTGGCACACGCATCTCACGCGCATCCACTACCACTAATTTGCGATATTTTTTTTACTTTGGAGTTTACAGGTAAATAAAGTGATGGAAGAAGGGCTCCTTCTGCATCATCACCTTATTTAAACAATATCTAATTTAAAAAATATTAAAAAAACAAACATTACTGTACTGTCAAACAGATAATCCCATTGCATTCTTTAAATTCAAAAAAGGAGTACCCGATTAAACTGTATCTACATTCAATTAAAACTTGTGATGCATTTACTTGACAGCGAAATAAAGAAAAGTAGGAGCATCCAAGGCAACGCCCCGGTGGAATGGCGCCTTGCGCCTTCTGTTGTCATGGGTTCGAGCTTTGGAGTTGCATGTGTGTCAGCCCCGCGCTGCCTTACCTGCCTGCTAGGTTTGCAGGGTGTTCAGTGGGCCGTGGGGATTAGTCGTGGTGCGCATAAGCTGGCCCGGACACCCCACGTAAATCAAAAAAAAAAATAAAGAAAAGTAGGAAACATGTTACAGTATCTCCAATTCAAAATATTATTTTTAAAAATTAAATTGATAAAATAGTATTTTAAATAATATAAATATAACTTATTTTATTATATTTATTTCAATAAAAAAACCATTTAAAAAGTTATTTATATTAAAGTAAAAAAAATAAGTATTTCATTATTTTTTATATTTTTATATCATTTTTTGCTTCCATGTGTCTACAAATAGGGGACCTGAATAGGTATGAATTTTTTATATCAAAATCTAACTCGATCAGGTTGCAGTATTCATGAACTCCAAACAATTTTGATATCAAGAACAAACCAACATCAAATTGTTCCTAACCGAGAAAAGTAAAGCCCAGAACAAAGAAGAAAATATGAAAAAAAATTAGTTCCTTGATGTGCTCCAGTTTCCGGCTTCCATCAATGGTTTTCTTGTGCTTCACAAAGGAGGTTGCTATCTTGGGTAACATCCAAATTCCATCTATGAAATGATGCAGCCAAAACTTCGGCAAATTCTCGCAATCGTTGTTCTCTGAAATCTTTTTGAAATTATATCTTTATTTCAAAACACAACATAAATAATAAAAAATAAAATATCAAAATAATTAAAGAAACAGAGTAAAAATAAATATGAACATGAAAGAGAAGAGGCTAAAATTCTTCTCAATTTATTTATATTATTGTTTTTATTTTAATATAAATAGAAAGAGTTTATATAAATAAAACTAAAAATATTATTTTTATTTTTAATAAATAAAATAAAATAAATTTATTATTTAACAAGGTGAGGGATAAAATCAATCAGACCTTATCGTATTAGATTGCATCTTTTTATTCAAATCAAACAATCAGTATCCTTAAATAGTGCAGCCTGAGCTTTACCGGTTATGGTTCCTTTGAGGATGATTATTGTTAAATTATTTTTTGTTTTAAAATATATTATAATAATTTTATATTTTTTATAAATTTTAACATTAATACATTAAAATTATTAAAAAATTAATAATTTAATATATATTTTTAAAAGTATATTTAAATAAAAACATATATTACTACTATTCTCTCAAACACACAATCTTATTCATCTTAAAACCTTAGCTATTAGAATAGTTTAGTTAACTCAAATTTACAATTATGGTTGTTGGAGTTGGATAACTCATTTTAAAAAAGCTTATATTAAAATTAAAAAATAAAAAAATATATTAAATAAAAAAACAACAAAACACTTATTCAAGTAATTGTATAAAATATAATAGTATAATGTATAATTTACTTTATCAATCGTCTGCTGCATGATCACATCACGTGAAAAGCTTGGCAGTTAGTGCTGTTTTTCCAATCAAACTTCTAACCCACTTTTTGCAAAGATGGAATCTCGAGGTAAATAAATCAAAGACAAAACCGAGTAAAATGGAGTCCACTCAGTCCAGAGCATAACAAGGACCGAGAGAGAGAAGGTTTTTGCGAGTTCTGTGGTCTGTATATTTCTCAAGTGGAGGACTTTAATAAAAGCCATCCACTTGATTAATGGTAAGACACTTCTGGCTCCTTTCCCGCCCTTTTCCTCACAGGATGCTTGATGTCTTTAAGGGGGTGCAAGCGCCTTGTTCGAGGATGGAGCATTAAGAGTTAAAGAAATACTAAAAGACATAAAGTGAAGTTCTTACAATATTCGTAACAATGGCCATCACCTCATTTATAATTTTTATAATTTATTTATCTATTTTATCAATTAATGAAGAGTGAAAAAAGAAAAAGAGAGAAGAAATAAAGTGAAGTCTTCTTCCGCATATCACGTGAAAAGAAAGATTCGCAAATAATAAAAGTTAATCCAATCAAACCCACTTTTTATATTGTTAATATGTTTTTAAATATAATATATTTTTAAAAAATATTAAAAAAACAAACATTACTGTACTATCAAACAGATAATCCCATTGCATTCTTTAAATTCCAACAATGAGTATCCGATTAAACAATATCTACATTCAATTAAAACTTATGGTGCAATTACTTGACAGCGAAATAAAGAAAAGTAGGAACGCTGTGATATCTAGGAAATTTATATGCCTTTTAAATTAGGCGTACAAAAGAAATGGTGGGAAATGGGTCGATGTCAGAGGCAGACAAGGAAGCGTCCTTTCAGAAGACCATGACTTCAAATCAGTGGCTGAAATCCAATCACTCAAGGGATGGTGACACATTGCCATGAGTGGAAGACAGCTGGTCTCCAGTACAAAGAGAAACAGCAGCGTTTTCATTGTTTAAATTTAAAAATAGAGTGTTGTCGTAAAAGTGTTGAAAATTCTTTTTTTTTTTTTCAATCCATTAAATTTAAGATTATTTGAAGCATTGTCACTCAAGATATATTTAAAATACTAAGTAATATTATTATAGATATAGTATATAGTTTTTATGTTATTGTTTGAATAAAATCTTATTTTTATTATTCGAATTTAAGCTAGAGTCTCTTAAAAAATATCTTTTCCTTTTATCCATATAATTTTAGATAATTTAGATTTTTAAAACTCCAGTCATGGATAAAACTCTGAGTGGTGTTTGGACTAAATTGCAAGATAAATTCAGATTTTTTTTTTTCCAAACTTTGAATTTAAAAGTGGAAAATTTAGGTCTTTCTCAGTTGTAGACCTATTTCTTATCTTTTCAATCATATAAATTAATATAAAATTCAAAATCTATAACTCTAGATATGATCTGATAACTCAACAGTGTTTAAATTTGAAATGAATTGACATCTCCTTTGTAAGTTCAACATTTTCTCTATCCTTTCACTTCCCATACTTAATCAGAATCCTTTGAATTGTGAGGATAGCTGTATTTAAAACATGTTTTAGTTAATGAGTTATTAATATTTCAAGTATAAAATAATGATAAAAAACATTAATCAAAATATATTTTTAAACAGTAATAAAAAAATAACAGGTCGGCACAGAACTACAGGTACTACTTTTCTCAATGACAGTTTTGGAAATATACGAAGACCGTGGCTCTGATGTAACTACAATAGACCTTGCTTGCTCACTCACTGAGTTCTGTTTTGTTTCTGGAAATAAGCCCCGATCTTGATAGCTTCTGCTTCTTTGTTTCTCTCGAATCCAATCCGTACAAGAAGGTATGCTCATTAACCTCAAGCTCATTTCGATTATTTTGTTGAATATTCTAACCAGGTTTATGATATGAATTCTTATAATAATAATTTAATGTTCCGTTTTAATTTAATTTGTTTATTTTCACCAGTTTTTTTTTATGTAGAGAGTATAGGAAGTGTGAAGGTGACACCATTTTTGCTTTATTTTATACTATATTTAAAGGCAATGCCTTTTGATTTGGTTTGGAAGTACACTATTTAAAATTGGTGTGTTTTTGAGTTTTGGTTTGTTGAAAATGGGCCGTGCATATAAAAACAAAAGGGTGTTTTATGATTTTTTTTTAAGATTTATTATGAGTTTTGTTTGTTTAATTTAATAAAAACCTTTTTGCAAAGAGAAATTCAATTGTGCTCTTTTTTTAATGCTTATTTCTTGCATTTTTATGACTTATTCCAGGGGCAAGCATCCTATTTTTATCTACAAAAGCGTTTTCATCGTTTAATTTGTTTTTCCGAGTGTTTTTGTCTTGTGATAACTCTTGTGGTGATGGAGATTTCAAAAAGATAGTTTTGATAAATTATTTTTACTCGTGATTTTTTTTATTTAAATAAATATTGAATTAAAATTATAATTAAAAATGTTTAGCTAAAATTTATGATTAAAATGGATGTTTTAACTTAAATTACCATAAAAGATACCTTGGTGTGTTTGATATTGCGGTTACTGCTGTGATTGTAGTTTGAAAAAAATTATTTTATAAATAATATTTTTAGTTGAGGTTGTTTTTAAAAAATACATGTTTGGTTAAAATTATAATTGAAATTGAGGTTGAATAAAAAGTAATTTAATAATATGTTTGGTTAAGAAAGATTTTGAAATTGAGATTATAAAATAATTTAAAAATATATATTAATATTGATGGTTTTTAATTTAAATATTATAAATTTAACTATTGTTATTACATGAAATAAATAATAATTTATATAAAATATTTTTTTATTATTCCATTGAATTATCTACAACTGCATCACGTCTGAAATATATGTGATAATTTTTTTGGTTTCCTTAGGAGGCAACAACACATCTTATAAAATTTAATTATGAACAAATTAGAATTATGATTAAATTTTGCAAATACCACATCATCAAGTGAATAAAACATAATTAAAAAATAAAAAAAATATTTTTTAATTTTACTGGATCAAACTTTGTTTAATGTATTTTACATGTTGGACTATAAAACATAATTAAAAAATAAAAAAAATATTTTTTAATTTTACTGGATCAAACAATGTTTAATGTATTTTACATGTTGGACTAGATCCAGTCTGACCGGAACAGTGAAGCTATGTTGTACGGTCCACTGCCGGGCAATAAAGCAACAGTTTCCATTGTAAGTAGTTTTTTTTCTTTGTTTTCATATTTCACTTTTCAGAAATCGTTTTATAAAATTTTTTGTATTTATTTAATATTAAAAAAATTGATCAACCAAAAACACTTTTCAGCTAAAAAAATTTAACTTGGTTTCTATAAAAGTATTTTCATAGAAAATTTTGGTGAAAAATACTTTTCGAAAGTTATGAAAAATTTAGAAATATTATATTATTTACTTATTATATCAAATTTAATTCTCAAACTTTTGATTGCTATATATATTTTGTTTTGAATGTTTATTTTTTAATTTCATCTTTTAAAATTTAATTTTTATATTAACTCTAGTACTCATTTTTTATAATTGTTATCTGTTTTTTTCTTATTATTTTCTTATTAAATTTTTGATCTATCAAATTTATTTCTCATTCTTTTGATTGCTACTTATTTTTTTAAATAATTTATAAAATATTAATTATTATTATTTTAATTTCTTTATTTTTGTACATTTAATCTCTATTATTTTGATTATTATTTATTTTATTTGAGATAATTTATAAAATTATTTTTTTAAAATTTTATTCTCATTCAATTTTTTAATTTATAAGATTTATTTCTTAATATTTTAAAAATTTAAAAAAATAAAGCATTAATAAGTTATTTTCTATCTCATAATTAAATACTGAATAATATCTTTCTATTTATTTTTTAGCACACTATTAAATATTAAAAAAAATTTAGTTTTTTAGAATTTTTTTTGAAATTTGCATATTTTAAAAAAAATATTTTTTAATAAATAAACAGGCGTTAATCAAATTATTACAAATTAAAATTTACTTTAAAAATAACCACGACCACGTATTCTTAAAACATGAACTGTTGTGGTCAATGCTGGTGGACTAAAAGCCATCCACTTGATTAAAGGTAGACACTTCAGGCTCCTTTCCCGCCCTTTTCCTTGCAGGATCCTTGATGTCTTCAAGGGGTGCAAGCGTCGTGTTCCAGGATGGAGCATAAAGAGTTAAAGAAATACTAAAAGACATAAAGCGAAGTTCTTACAATATTCGTAGCAATGGCCATCACCTCATTTATAATTTATATAATTTATTTATCTACTTTATCAATGAATGAAAAATGATAATAGAAAAGGAGTGAAGAAATAAAGTGAAGTCTTCTTCCGCGTTATGAGCACATCACGTGAAAAGAAAGATTCCCATATGATAAAAGTTAATCCAATCAAACCCACTTTTTCGACGATGGGATCTCTTGGCAAATAAAGCAAAGGACAAACCGAGTAAAACGTGGGACCTAACTCAATTTTCCTGGCACACGCACCTCACGCGCATACACTAACACCAATTTGCGATATTTTTTTTACTTTGGAGTTTGCATGAAAATAAAGTGATGGAAGAAGGGCTTCTTCTGCAACATCACATCATTTAATGAAGTTTTCCGGTCAAACACTTATTCAAGTAATTGTATAAAATATAATAGTACAATGTATAATATATAATTTACTTTACTATTAAAAAATTATATAAAAAAATAAACTAAAATCATAAATTTTTTCAGTGGATTCCACCGTACTATTCACAATAAAAACTTTATTTTTAAGAAAATATTTTATTGAAATTCAGCTAAATTTTTTTTTGATAAAAATAATTTTTTTAATTAATTTTTCTTTGATAAAAAAAAATTTAATTAATTTTTCTAATGACAAAGAAATATAAAAAAATTTAAAAAATAATTTTTTAAAAATTATATTTCAAAAAATAAACACGAGGTTAGGAATGTTTTTCCAATCAAACTTCAAACCCATTTTTTTCAAAGATGGAATCTTGAGATAAATAAATCAAAGACAAACCGAGAAAATTAGAGTCCAGAGCATGACATGTTAGCAGTTACAGAGCCGAGAGAGAGAAACTTTTTGCGAGTTCTTTACACTAAACTTTTTTGCAATATTGTTTTAATAGGTTAGTATAAAAAAAATATTTTTTTAATATATTTATAAAAAAATACTTTAAAAATGAACAACCAATACACTATCAAACACCTCTAATATATTCTTTAGATCTCATTTGACAATGCTTTACACCACAGTAAAAAAATCATGTTTTATGTTTTTATTGGCAAAATGTAACTGCAACCGCATTAAAGTTGGCTGGTGCTGCATGATTAAAGGTAAATGCCCTGCATGGATTGACTAACAGTCATGTTTGTTTTCCTTTCTTTTTTGTAAGTTACTAAATTTATAATGACATCATTTTTTTAAATATAACTATGTTAAAAAAATTTATAATTATTTTTTATATCAATGTATCAAAATATTATAAAAACACACAAAAAATATTAATTTAAAAAAAAAAAATTTAAAGTTTTTCAAAAAAAATTTCTGAAACACAAAAATTTATAAAACAAAAAAAGATAAAAACTATT